TATATATATTATTATTATTTATATTAATCTTAATGGATAAAAGATTTAGTATTAGTATTAGTTCTAAGTAGTATTTAATATTATTATATTAGTATTTTGGAAGAATAATTAAATCATTATAAACACATATATATGTATATTTACAGTAAAATCTTATATATATAATCTAATTATATATGTATAATCATTTGTTCTCTTTAAAGATGTTTATGTTTAGTTAATTATATAGTAATAAGAATGTAAAATTGAGAAGAAATACAATTTTGGAAAAATACACACATGCTTAATAGTTACCAATTAAAAAATTAAGAATTGAAAATTAATAATTTATAAATTTACAATTAATAATAGGACAACATTAAAATTATACAATCTCTTATGATCTTAGTAGAATATAATCTAATATGAATAAATTGAACCGAAAAGTTAACTTGACTATTTAAAGAGAAAAATAATGGTAAAATATTGATATTTGATTTTTGTAAATTATGTTAACATGTAAATCTTTTCATTATTGTTTACAATCTAATTGGTTTTCCAATATACAACTGCCCTTTTGTTTAAACAATGTCTTTAAATCTATACCTGATTGATTTATAAACTCTCCTTTCAAAATAAGCGCTCCTTATGCTTAGAATATAGCCTATTAGGATATTAGGAGTGTAGTGATGTAATTGGAAACTAAAAATATAAATTATTTTACTACCTTATGATATAGGACTATTTTACTATAGTGGAATCTTAAATTATGTTAAAAGATCTTTGTAATTTTTATCACAAGATTTAATTTCTTATCCTGTATTGACATCCCAGAGACGGATAGACTTATCATCACTACCAGAAGCTAAAGTAGTTCCATCAGGAGAGAAACAGACTGACATAACATAATGCTCATGACCATCTAATTTGTCATTTTATTATCCTGTTTTGACATCCCAAAGACGGATAGAGTTATCTACGCTACCAGAAGCTAAAGTAGTTCCATCAGGAGAGAAACAGACTGATACGACAGTGCTTGTATGACCATCTAATTTGGCTTTTTATTCACCTGTTTTGACATCCCATAAACGAATTTCTTGATAGCTACCAGAAGCTAATGTATTTCCATCCGGAGAGAAACAGACTGAGTTAATATAATTACTATGACTATCTAATTTGGCTTTTTATAATTCTTTTTTGACATCCCATAAACGAATTTCTTGATAGCTACCAGAAGCTAATGTAGTTCCATCAGGAGAGAAGCAGACTGACATAACATAATGCTCATGACCATTTAATTTGGTTTTTTATTATCCTGTTTTGACATCCCAAAGACGGATAGAGTTATCTCCACTACCTGAAGCTAATGTATTTCCATTAGGAGAGAAACAGACTGATATGACAGTGCTAGTATGACCATCTAATTTGGCTTTTTATTATCCTGTATTGACATCCCATAGACGGATAGACTTATCATTACTACCAGAAGCTAAAGTAGTTCCATCAGGAGAGAAATAGACTGACATAACATAATGCTCATGACCATCTAATTTGGCTTTTGATTATCCTGTTTTGACATCCCAAAGACGAATAGAGTTATCTTCACTACCAGAAGCTAAAGTAGTTCCATCAGGTGAGAAACAGACTGAGTAGACAGTGCTAGTATGACCATCTAATTTGGCTATTTATTATCCTGTTTTGACATCCCATAGACAGATAGACTTATCATCACTACCAGAAGCTAATGTATTTTCGTCAGAAGAGAAACAAACTGATCTTACATAATCACTATGACCATGTAATTTATTTAATTCAGGGATTTTTAACTCTCTCCATTAACAATTAAATAACAATGCTCCATTCAGATTTATTCCACTTATATCCACATTATTAAATTAGGATTCACTAAGATTACACCTAGCTAAATTTGCTCCTACTAAAGAAGTATTTTAAATCTTAATATTTTCAAAATTTTTGTTTCGAAGGTCCACCTTCATCTAAACTAATAAATGTAATGAATTAGACCCACCCTATATTAACGTTTCATCAATGGATGTAATGTGAACTAAAAATTACAGAAAATCAATGATCCTTCTATTATGCTTGATGCTATTAATTAGATTTAATGTTGATTCTTCATTTTCTACAGAGGAAAAGTCCTTGTAATTGAAGTCATGATCTTTTAATTTTCTTAAAACATCAGTAATTTACTTAATATCATTTCTAACATCAGACAATTGTTATTCCTTGTCACGTTGTTTTAAATTCTCTCCTTGTTGTAAGGTTTATGATTGATTCCCATTATCTGAAAGATATCCAATGCAGTCTTTAACTTTTTCCTTTCTTAATTTTTTTAATATGACACCAAACATTTGCTCATCTACATTTTTGACTTAAGCAAAGATGTCAGCTAGAGCTTCCTTCTGTTTAAAAGAGCTCTGCATTTTCTTTTTTATGTTTTATAATGAATTTTTATTACTCTAACTTAAAGTTATATACTCAAAATCAATAAAAGTATCTTGTGCATTTCAGTAAAATAGAAGTTCAGACATTGTGCAGATTTCAAATTGATAATAATAGAGGTAAAATATGCTATTGAGAAATCATTTCAACATATGAATTGCCTTATTCATTAATAATATAGAATATCTGAATTTTTATATAAATAATTTAATTTATACTAAATTTGAGTTTTATTATATATCTTTTATTTTTGTTAATCCTTAATATAAGGAACAAATAATTGTAATTTTGCAGCTAACTATTTAAAGATTGGAATATGTATTAACACTCCTTGTTATTATTGTAATTATGATAATTTGATTAATTGTTACAAAATTGTTATTCTTTTTGTTTTCAAGAGAGAATTGAAACTTTAATATTAGAAACAGGATAAGTAGATTATAACGATTCAGAACAAATTACATCACCCTTTCATGATACAAGATTATATTTTAATTTATATTATTTCTAAGAATAATAATATTTCATTTTTAGGATTCATTAGATTTAAATAAGATTAAGACTCTATCAAATCTAATAAAGGGGAGGGGGAAAGGTTAATTTTAGGTGATAATTTTAAATAAAATTAATATGATTGTAGCAAATAGGATTAGAAAGGAATTATTTTCATGAGATAGTTCCTTACATTATGATTTAAAGTTAAGCTTAATCATAAAAAGTCATATTCAGTTTATGGGCAAGTTTTAGAGGACCTGATTCTAATTTTACTTTGCCTTTTTATACCACTATACAATAAAATTCAAGATCCACATTCGATCCTTACAAAATATATTTGAAAGTCTTAATTCAAATTTACAAATTAATGAATAATCAGTTGTTTTAAGATATAATTAGGATTATAAACGAAAAATAATAAGACTATTGTTTTATTAGTTTTATAAATCTTAATCATAATCACTAATTATTTATGAATTAATTCATACCTTTGAACTTAATTTCTGCACTAATTACTTTTTTCACTTAATAGTGCTTAATTAAAGAATTCTTTGTTCTCATCAAATGATAAGATTTTTATATCTATTTATTAAATTTCTTAGAAAAATCGGTAATTTCAACTAAACTAATAGATGAATCTATTAAATTTATAAACTTAATATAAATGATACAAGTATAATTATTCTTTAACTATTGAATTAAATTATTTCAAATACCATTTTTTGTTTCTTAACATTTTTGACTTGCTGTTATATCTATACACTCCCAAATCCAAATTTTTTTTTCTTTACTTCTCTTCTCCATTATGAAAATATTTGTGTTTATCCTCTAAATCCATCCCTTATATCAATCAATATTTATGCCTTGAAACCATTACTTCTTAGATGATATCATCACTGAATCATTCTAACAAAAAAGGTGATAATATAATTTTACATCTATTCAATTGGTTCATCCTAAGCATTTCTATAATTTATATTCCATCTACCAACCTTCATATAATGTTATGTGAATAACTATCTAAATACATGACTTACTAATCTCAACTTGATCTACTAACCATTTTTCAAACCTTTTTCATTCTATAATCCAACCCTAAATGTACAATTATAGATAAAATAATTTACCTAATATAAAGTAATCAGAATTAGTTGCCTTATACAAAACATCCCACCTAAGAACGCTCTTATCATTTTAATACGCACCATTATAAATTTCTTGCCATTTTAGAGAAAATCCTTCACTAAATATTATCCATTAGCCCTACCACCAACCTTATTTTTCATATTCTCCTCTAACTTGATTAATATTTTATTATATTGCATACTTTTATCCTTATACATATATTTCCAATTTCCTACTCTTCTATTATTTTCTTATTCACCTTATTCATGAATTTAAGCTTTACTATCAACAAATTATTTTAAATAACTGCAAAAATTATTGTTCAAATCTATCAATTATCCTTTTTTAAACCATGATAAAGTATAATCTTTTTGATTCCTATACTAACTACTAAAATTTATTAGAGTTTCTTCCTTTCAGGCGGCTATCCATTTGAGAATTTCTTCATTAACTTCATTTTATATAATTATAAACTCTTGATTTGTATTATTTCTGTATAAAATATCCCATTTTTCAATTTTAATTCCATTCTGATATTAACCATCATAAATAACTAGATAAGCTCTAAAAATTTATAATTTTAATATTACATACTTTTAGTCATGTTATTCTAATTCAATCCATTTCCCAATTTTATTTTCGTATGAGTAAATTCCTTCAGATCTAATATTTAAAATATTAAATTACATGATAATCAAACTTTTTGTTTTATCATTATCTAAATTATGTATTCCATTTTCCATTCTTCATATTATTTTCGTAGTATCCTTCATGAATTACTTAAAAATGTCTCATAGATTTTTTCTATATATTCCTTTTTAAAACAAGTATCTAATTCAGCCCACTTTCCTACTTTATTTCCTTAAAACTCATAATTGCCTCCAGCTCTTTAGATATAATTATTCCTAAAAAACAAATACATTACTTTGTTTAAAATTTTTATCCTTATTAGTTTCTGTATACACATATCATCTTTAAGATCTGTTTCCATTCTTAAAAGCACCAACTTCAATTACTTAACAATTACTATCAATAAGATCTAAAGAATACTAGTTAAAAGAGTCAGCAAATTCAATCCATTTCCCTGTTTTTACTTCAGCTTAATACTGTCCTCCAATTCTGAATGAGCAATATATTTAAATAATTTTTACGCTTGTTCAATTTAAAATTGTAATTTTTCTTGTATTTGGCTTACCCAAAGTCCTTCCTTTTCCCCATTAATATATTCGCCTAAATTCAAAAATTATAATTAACTGAAATTTTTCTATGAAAAAGAGTAAATACTTAGAAGAACGATAATCCTGCCCTATCCATTTTCCAAATTTTTAACCCTATAGATTATAATTTCCTCCAACACAAAAATATTACATATAAATTTTACACTGAATGTTATTCTGAATTTCTATTTTGTAAGGACAATATATCCCATCTTCCAACTTTCTTTCCATCTTAAAATTATCCAATTAGAGTAAATTAAAAGTTTCTAATATTCATTTTTATTAATTTATACTTGCTCTTAAAGAATTCATGAATTTCTATCCAATTACCAATCTATAACCCTGCATCATCGTAATCTCCTCCAGCTCTATAATATAATTCTTTATACATCAATTAAAATTATGAACTTTATTTATAATATGTTTCCCATCTTCCAAACTTTTTTCCTTTTTTATAATTTCCTATCAATATGATCTAGTTACCTCTAACAATTAAAATTTGGAAGTTGCTTAGAAAAATAATTATCTATTTTTTTTCCATTATCCTATCTTCATCCCTTTATCATCGTATTCACCTCCACCCCTAATAAATTTAACCCTTAATTTACAAAATTTAGAATTATTTATCCGAAACTTCTCTGTATTTAATATCTCGTCTACCAATTTTTATACCTTCCTTATAACACCCTACTTTAATAATTTCATTATCTCTATAAAATAATTGAACCCTATATTTACTTTCCATAATATTCGTCTAAACCTGTCCATATTTATATTTTCTTACTTTGTTCCTCCACCTCTATTTATGATAATTCAATATTGCAAACATATTAAAATTTGAAATTTGAATACTCCCTAAAAGAACTGACTATTTTCCATTTTTCTATCCGTATCTAAATTCTCCAACTTAAATTACCTAATTATTACTAAAATATTATTATTAGTTATATACTATATACATTATAAAATTATCAATTAATTCTTCCCAAAGTCCTTCTTTCATACCATGATCATTATAAAATCCTCCTCCACTTTATAACATTTAAATGTTTAAATGTTTAAATGTTTAATAATATTCATCTTCTAACCAGAACTCCATTACAAGAATGGAACTCCTAATTTGGATATAGGCCACAAACTCCACAACGAACCTACAAAGTCTCGATTCTTTGGTAATCCGGCCAAGCGAGCTAATTGCCGGAGACTATTCCAATTATATATCCTCCTA